CATGATTTAAGCTTATGAATTATTTCCGTTGCAAGTAGTGCGTGCAGAAGTGCATTTAAGTACGAAACGAATTGCATGTATAGTTTTGTTTTTTAGTGCGCTGAAGTGCGTGTATTCCATGAATTGTTCCAGTACGTTCCATGTTCGAGTTCTATGGCTTTTCCATGGACGTAACCTGATGCAACGCTGAGGATATAAACATGTGCTTCTGAGGTTGTATTGGTACATGAATGAAGACTGTGTCAATTAGCTTTTCTGAATCAAATACATTTCAATATTATGACAACAAATAAATTCGACACAAGCATCTGCAGCCGCTTCCTCGCCTGTAGAATGCAGTACTTCCGCGTCGGTGATCTTCAAGCTGCCATGGTTGATTCTAGCCACTGAAGCAAAGAGCAAAATCAATGATTGTGATTACAGTTAACGTTCAGTCATTATTGCCTGTTGAAAATCTATCGACGCTCTACCGTCTTTATCCACTGGAAACGTCTTGAACGCATCTTCGTAGAAAACATGTAAATTACTCATTTTCTGATCCTTACTTGTAACTTACTTTGCATATAGTTCAATTTCATAACCATCATGACGAAGTCGGTAAATTTGATCGATCCTTTTGAATCAGCGTAACGTCGCATGAGTGTCTTTAAAACGTTACTATTCAGTTTATAGCCTAATCGTTATATAATCTCAGTGAAACTAACGACCGTAACTTGAAAGTATACCCATTGCGTTTAATGTGTGAATCAGCTCAGATTCATCGATTGTGTCTGAGCCATCAACGTCAATTTTACCGAAGACTCGCTTCCAGGTACGGATTGATTGCCACAGTTGAACGACATCTTCAATGGCTAGCGTTTCGCAGAGGTTTTCAGAGGCCATAGTTTCAATCATGCGGCACTGCTCCGGCGTAAATCCTGATCCATCGGTATCTATATTGTAAGACAGACATTGACGACCATAAAACTGTCATTGAGTTAAAATTATGATATAATTTTCGACTGGTGGAATCTCTAACTGTTAAGGCTTATCTTGCAGTAAATGAAAGGGAGCCTGCTGCTAAATCTAACGTACATGACGGGCTTTGCACAACAAAGGCGATAATGCTACAACCACTTTCCCCGTAATAGGCGGTGAACTGAATCCGAACTGAATACTTTCTACAAAATAAAAATTTTCTGCTCAATAATGATCTCAAGAAATTACTGATTTTCCACAAGACAACGGAGATAACCTTAGCGAAAGGGGGGGGGGTTGAAGAATCCAATTGTTCTCTAGGTTCCATCGTACTGCTTTATAATAAACAGATTTTCCATTGTTGGTAGCGTACAATCTTCAAACACGGACGTTGGGAATTATTTGGTTCTGTCTCCCGGTCAAGTCACATGTGGTATAATTGGAATCTATTTCACTACATTCTAACATTTGAATAATGATATTACAAATATGCAAATGAAAGTATACGTATGAAAATGATTAAATTACAAAGAACCCTAGGAGTGTGTTGCGTTAATGGAGCAACTGAGATTTTTTGCACTGCTCACCTACTTTCTCATTTGTGAGTCTGGAAATGACCATGAGCCAGTATTCACCATCAGTTACTGTCGCTTTATTAACAGGTTAACACGGTTAATTTATTGCGTTACTTCACATCAGCTGAAGTTGTTATTCCTATTCGCTCGTTTCGCTCAAACATTCATTGAAAGACCGATTCATTCCTTCGTTTCCCGTTCATTTATTAATTCTTGTTATTGA